TGAACCCTTATTGGCGACTGGTGATTTATTTATTTTTTTTGATACTGGGGATCGAACTCAGATCTTTCCGCTTGCGAGGCAGGCAGAGGAACCACTGAGCTAAACCCCTGGCACTGGTGATTTACTTTTGATTCTTGTTTATACTAGAAGTTCTTACACCAATTGCTTTCCCCAGCACCACTGACTTTGTCATTTCCTTCTGAATTATTTATCTAGACTACTTCTACAATAATCTCTTCAGCAAAACTGGTTAAAAATCATTGTGCAGTATTTGATAAAAACACTAAATGCTTTGCCATATTGAGAGGTGTCACATGATCTGTGCCCTACCAGCTTTCTAACATGACTGTCGTCTCAACTATTCATTCCAGTCTTTGAGTATCATAGAAAGTCAAGCTCCTAAGAATTCTTCCAAATACCTGTCCATCCTTCAGGTCTCTGGTTGCCTTCTGCAATCGAGGTTATTCTCAACATCCTTTAAAAAAATTTTTATTATTAATTTTATTGGTACATTTTCAGTATACAATATAATGATGTTCATCATTGGAAATTTGTACCTTTACATATCTTGATTTTTATTTTTTCCCCATTCCCCTCGACACACATGCTTTTTTTCTTCCACAAATTGTTTGCATTTTGCAATTGTACTATGTTATAGGCCCCATAAAGGGAAGTTTTGTGTCAGTTTTAAGGCAAGTTTTAATCAGCACTGAGTGCTGTGTCTGATACATGCCTGTCAGTGGAGGCACATCAAATAGTTCTTCAATAAACAAATACTTTCTATGGTTTGACTGTGTTCCCCCAAAGTTCATGTACTGGAAATGTAATCTCAAAATTCATACGTAAATGCTACTGGGGGCGCTTTGGGAGGTGATTAGATGAGGTCGTGAAAGTGGGGGCCCCAAGTTGGTAGGTGTGGCTCTGTAAGAGGGAGTGTGCTGTTTTGCTGTGCGATGCCCTCCATCATGTTATGATGTCATGTTAAGCACAAAACCCTCACCAGATGCTCCTTTTATGCTCCTGGACTTCCCAATCTTCAGAATCATGAGCCCAATAAACTCTTTTATAAATTACCTCATCTCAGGTATCCTGCTATCGCACCAAAAGATGGACTAAAACAATATTGAATAAACAGTTTACTGTCTTTTAAAGAAGTATGTTTTTGTGTGTCCATTTTGATTGGAATAATGTTAGCTGAGCTGGGAGTTTTGACATTGAGAAAAAAATGAGGAAGCCAAGAGGCAGAGTAAACAAGTGAGTGAGCAAGAAGAGTTATAAGAAATTACACGGGGGGCCAGGGATTTAGCTCAGTGGTTTCGCTGCTTCCTGCGCATGCGGAAAGATGCAAGTTCAATCTCCT